CCTGTTACAATGCGTATTGCCCCAATAGGTCTTGGTCCAGGAGGGGGATAGTAGAACCTACTTAGTGTTGTAGGAAAGGGTGGTCTGGAGCTACTAAGATGAAAAACAGAGCTCCTGCCCTCAGGAAGCTTAAAGTCTAGCGGAAGTGCAAGTCCCTGGCTGGCAGTGATGAAATACTGGAGTCCGTGCAGTAACTGAGATGTACATTCAGTGCTATGGGAACCACTAACCCAAGAGAAAGGGCTTCACCCATGATGAGTGGGTGAAAGGCTACACAGACAGCTTCCTGAGGAGATGGGCTTGAGTTGAGTCCTCAAGGACAAATGGACAGGAGGTAGCCAGGACAGCTACTGTAGGCACAAAGAACATCAAGTCCAAAGACATAAAGGTGCAGGAGGAAGAACACCCTTAAGCATGGCAAGGAGGGGACAGGGCCCAGGGTGCTGCGGGGCTGAGTGCTGCCAGGGCTGGTCATGGGGGACCTCACACCGGACATGGGCCCACCATCTCCTTGGTGAGCCCAACAAGCTATAGAGAGTGGCAGGACATAGATCCACTTTCCGGAGAGGCCACTCTGCACAGGGTGGATGGTGTTTCAGAGGAACAAAACAAAAGGATGTTTGGAGGCTGTTTTAGCAGTGCAGGCAAGCGAAGGTAGGCAGTGTGAGAAAGGCAGTGTAGTTTGGGAAAATAATTCAGAAATGCAATCTAAATATTTGAGTATGTAACTGGATGAGAGGGGAGAGCCAAGAATGAGCTGCAGTTTCTCCTCAGATGATGAGGCAGGGCCTGAAGGAACAGCAGCAGGTGAGAGAGGGCTGGCCGCAGCACTGCACTGCAAGTTGCTAGTGAACATGAGTACAGTGTGACCTACCCTGCTGCTTAATGACACAGGAACATTCAAGCTCGTGGCTTTTCTTATGATACATGCCACAACGAAATGATTGTAGCACAACAATAATACTAATAAAAACAGAAACGAAATACTTTAAAAAAGAGCATAATGCAGCATGCTCCTTCTGAATCCATAAATCTACCCTCTTTTGTATGGTTTGTAGGTAAGGGCCTGTTTCCTCTGGAAAGTGTGCCCAGATGACATCAGACATTTCCCAAACTGCCCACACAGGCCCCTGAATGTATATCTCCTCAGTGTAGTAGAGTTGTATATATTTTGGATCTGGAAGACCAAGTACTTAAATATCAGTGGGGCTAGATACAGCTTCACAAGAACACTTATTAAAAAGTCTTCCAGACATTAGTGACCTGTGAGGTCAGTATGCAGCAACCAAGAAATATTCATTCATTCATTTGGCAGTTGTTCACTGAGACCCCACTGTACAGGCTGCAAAATCCGCCTGTGGGAGGTGGATACAGAAACGACAGATGAGAATCCTTAATCAGGAGTGGACTGCCTTGGAATCCTTAGGAGCCAGTTGCATGGTCTGTATAAGTGCCCGAGGAGCACACTTAAAGGGTTGGATGCCCCGCTCTGCTCATAGAAGTTGAAGACTCTTCATTAGGGAGGTGACATTTGAACTGAGTCACAAAGGAAGCAACACATGGGCCAGAAGAAGGCTGGCAATTCTGTCAAAAGGAGACTTTAGGGTGAATGATGCAATTTGGCTGGAGCATAACAGTTATTGAGCAATAAGGAGGGGGAGGGGGAGATGAGAATGCAAAGGTTAGGTGAGGCCTGTACTTGTTAGGTTGATGGTTTGGCTTTCCCTCACAGACACTAGTGACAGAAGCAAGGCAGATTTCTTTCTCTTTCTCATGGAAGTCTATTTAGAGGTCTGGGGGAGCAAGGATTTTGCTTAGGAAGTCAGGTTTCTTTTTAATTGTTGCTCTAAGGAGGCGTTTTTTTTCATGTGACCACAGCTGACCACGTCACACCTGATGGCAAAGGGGAAAAGAATAAGAGGAAGTGGAGTGCAAACAGTGGCCTTCTGAGGTTGTGATTCAGAAGTTACACATATCCTCTTGGGCAGAACTTGGTTACAGGCCACATCTACCTGCATGAGAGGCAGAGAGGTGCAGACTGTCGAGGTGGCTGTGCACCTTGCTAAACTCGGGACTTCTGCACCTAAAAGGAAGAAGGGAAGTCTGGCTATTCAAAGTCAAATTTGTCTCTGCTAGAAGGCCAGCCCCCAAAAGCTGTTGCATGAAACCTTCAGGGGCTTTGACTTTAATTTATCCTTGGAGCAATAGGGAGCCATTGAGTACAAGACAGACAGACCAAGGTGGTCAGTATTCACACAAACACTAGTCGTCCAGGTAGATCAAATGGTGCAGAATCTATTCAAGCAGTCCGATGTGTATTTTATTCATGATTCGAAGAATTTTGTGTAGCTACTCTGTGTCAGGTACAATTCTAGATGCTAGGGGTGTGGCAGGGAACAAAAGAGAGCAAACTCTGTTATCTTGGAGCACATGTGCAGTGAGGAGAGACATTTCATCAACCATGAAATAAACAAGATGATTTCAGATGGCGAGAAGTTGCAGACAGAAGAACCAGGTACTATAAAGTTGCCGGATAGAAACAATTTGGTTAGAATGGACCAGAAAACCAAAGTGGCACAAGGGAGTGAGCGTGGGGGTGGCCTGTGGGAGGCAAGATTAGTGGGTGGTGAAGGCCTGGTCCTGTGGGATCTGGGGCTTTGTTCTAAGAATGGTGGGAAGCCATTGGATAATTCTAAGCATTAAAATGATACAAGCTGATTTCTGTTTAAAAATCATCAATCCAACTTCTGCATAGAGACTATAGGGTGGATAGTTGGAATCATGACCTTGAATTGTATGAATGCTTAGCACATGTGGGGTAAGAGCAAGTGAAAACGAAGCCCGTGTCCTCTCACCGTGGAAACTCCAGGACTCAGGTGCAGTCCTAGAATGTCCCACATCTACCTGCATGAGAGGCAGAGAGGTGCACAATAGGGTCAAGACCCTGCTCCAGCCCCTGCTACTCAGTTGTGGCCTGCAGCATCAGTGTCACCACTTGTTAGAACTTGTTAGAAATGCAAATCTTAGATACAAAACCCACACCTGCAATCTTCACTTTAACAAGACCCCAGGTGACTCATGCACATTAAAATTGGAGAAGCTCTGGTGGTATGTCTTCTGGTTAGGGTGCCTTTCTCTCTTTTAACTATATGCATACATACCCATATATACCACACAACACAACATATACACACCACACAGTCCCCATACACACACCATATAACCCCCCACACATCACATATACACTTTATATCTCCCACACACATACGCACACATAAACTACACACACACACCTCATAATAGCCTCTTTCCACCCACACACACCATACTGAACTGCCAAGTGACCTATGGACAGGAGGTCTGGACTAGCTCAAAATTTAGGGATTCCTAGAGGGTAGAGCGGATGTTATATGAGCTTGATTTGAGGAGTTTGAAATTTATAAACAAGGAACCCATGGAGATTATTTGATGGGAGCTTGCTATGTGCAAATTGGTGTTTTAAGGAGATGAACCTGATAGTGATGAGCAAGAAGACCCCAGGTGGCAGGCAGTCCGGGGGCTGGCACAGAAATATGAATGGGACTCTCTTTAGTGATGTTATGTATGACTACTACATGCTTTGTCTTTTATATTATTTACAAAATATATTACACTCCAAACTTTCTATAATTTGTGTCTATTATCTTTACAACAAGATGAAAAACACATGCAAAACCTGTCCAGGCTCAGTATTGTTTGGGTCAGCACTAGGATGGGGGTGGGGGGTAGCTATGAGGAACATAAAAAGTGGGGACTGTTTGATATCTAGGAGGTTTTCCTGCTTATTCTTTAAAATTCCATGTGAGTATCTCCTCTTTGTAGGTTACCAGATGTATCTCTTCCTGCCTCTTTTTCAGCTTTTTTAGTACATAGCACAGGCTGGACATGAAAAAGCTACTCAGGAAATTCTTATCTAAGGTTAGAAAATGAATGTCATGATGGATAAAGGATGTCAAGTCTCAGTAACTAAGCAATCGAGGTGCTTTGGGAAGAAACGCAGGATCTTAGGGTGCTATCCAATTTTGGAAGAAATGCCTGAAGATGTTTCTAGGTGTCCTAACTAGGTGTCATGGTAAGGCCTGAACTGGAATAGGGGTGCTTTTTATTTCACAAAATAGAACTAACCTTCCTGAAGTGTCCTGTGACTGATTAACTACTCCACATACCTTCTTGTTTGGGTCTCCCAGGGATTAGGCCAGGCAGGAGGTGCTGGAAGTTGAGTGCCCTCCATTCCTCACCCTATATTTAGCCAGAGTGGGTTTAGATGGGATATGCTGGCAGCCTGCACATCTGCAGAGCCTGACTATGAGCTCAGCCCTGAGGGCTCAGTGAAGCTGCTTGGCACCAAAGCCAGTTCATGTGTGTGTCATCATCCATGGATGGTCAATGATGCCCTGACACAAAGCAGCAGGGAGAGTGCCTTCCTGTTCTTGAAGTACATTTTAGCTTTCCCAGGCTTCTCAGTCTGAACATTTGTGATCTGCATGCAATAGCATATTCCATTTTATGTGATTCGTAAACTGAATTGGGGAAAAGAGGTTCTTAAACTGAAATCTCATAAATTCAGATTCATGGGATTTTATGAGGCAAAGGTGTTACATAGCATCCACACTGGATGAAGTTTTGTGTTCTTCAAAACCACTATGTTTTTCTTTTTCTTCAAAGAAAAGTTGTTCTTTGTAGAACAAAATAACTTGAAGAAGTAAGTCTGTCATTCTCGTAAAAAGGATAGTGGGTAATTAAGGCTCACTAGAAATCCGAACAGAAAATCTCGGGTTAAACATTAAGCCCTGAAGGCCTGTCAGTGATGACAGAAGTAAGTTGTCCATAGGCCTATGCCCGCTGCCTCTCCCCAGCACTCGCCAATGTCACATTGGCCTCTTTGAAGAGGACAGACCCCATTTTTCTGGGGAAAGAGGATGCATGTCAGCTTAACGTACCTTCCTGGACTTTTATTTCAGATCATCAGAAAAGCCCTTTCTGAGGAAAAACGTGTCTCAACAAAAACATCAGCTGCAGATCTTGTCACAGAAACAGATCACCTTGTGGAAGATTTAATTATCTCTGAGCTGCAGAAGAGGTTCCCTTCGCACAGGTGCGTGTATTTCTCAGGTAAAACACCCAGGAACACGTTGCCACGTTCATAAAGAAGGCCAGGGTCTAACTCAGGAGGTCGCGCCACTGGTTGTTGTGGGCAGACCACAAACAAAAAGCCTCACTGCCTGCCCCCCGATATTTCGATTGCATGGTAGACAAACAGACCTTGTTTTCATTCTTTTTACTACCATCTTGACAACGCTCATGTTAATATTACCTTAAAAACTGAAAAGGCTTCACTTTCCACAACGCATGCTCCGGAGAAGAGACTGCTCCCCTCTGCTAAGCCACATAGTCTATTTCTGGAGGGATGTGGAACAGTAATGTTCCCTGGCAGCCTGTGTCTGTTTGGTGGCGCCATTCAGATTTTCCAGAAAGGATTTGACCCCAAATGGCGCCGTCAGCTGTGTGGGTCCAGGTGCACTGCCTGATGGTGTGCCAATGCTGGTATTCAGGGATGCACTCTCCCCTTGCCAGGCCAAAGCATGGGACAGGGAAGGCTGCCGTCCTCCCTTAGGTCTTTATGAGGACCCCTACTCTCTTCTCTGGAGCAGCAGTTCTTAATTTTTTTGGGGGGGGGATCATTATGTGGAGAATCCAATGCAAGTTATAAATATTTTCCTCAGAAAAATTCAAATATTCACACAGTATTTTGGATCTAGTTCCATGGGAGCCACAGATCCCAGAGCATGACCGTCTTTGAGGTCCTCAGGCCCCTTTCTCACCCCCAGAGTTCTGTATAACAGACTTTGAAAACCACTGTTTGGGTGTGAGGGGTCTCTTTCCTTTGTGGAGAATTGCTAAAACTGGAATACCAGGTATTGGATTTCTGGCTATTGATCACTGTAACAGTCAGATTCTGTGTACTTATGCAGCAGAAATAGCTAAGGCTGTTTTCTTCAGCATCCTTCTATCACAGGGTAGGCATAGTAGACTTTTTTCCCTGTCCATAATTAATTGAAAGAAAGGGCAAGCCCGTGTTCAAACTTACCTCCTTTTTCTCTGTTGTTTCCTGGTTAGGTTATCTCGGGGTCTCAAACTTCCTTCAAAATTCTGTCAGTGGATCAAATTTGTTTTGTTTTGTTGACAACCTTTGTGTTTGAGTATTTGTTATTTCATATTTCCTTCTTCTGTATGAAGTCACATGTTATACTTTTTATAAGCTCTAAAGTGTTTATAATTTTTTAACTTTTAAAAATCTAAATTAGAAGGCAACGTCAAAAGAGTTATGTAGTTTGCTTTTACTCTTTGAGAGGAGAAAAGCTGTAGCCAGCTGTTTCTGGTTGAGGAACTATTTCGGTTCTCAAGGTTTTGGTGGGATTGGTCTAGGTGCCTACTACAGAAATGAGAGTGGGGTTGGCTGTATGGAGTCCGGTAAAGAACCTTGAGGTCACTGCAGACTAGACATAAAGGCGTTATCAGGGCTCTGGAGTTTTTCCATCAGATTGCATAGTACTCTTGACAAACTGAACTCTGAAATTATATGCCCTATTGTATGTGTTGGCGGCAGTTGCTAATGGTTTGGATCCACTATTGTGTCAGTATGGGGTGTGGGTTCCATTTTTACAAGGTAAATTTATTCTTTGCTGCATATCACAGGATAAAAGTCAGTGTGAAAAAAAAAAGTCACAGAAAAATATTATATGAGTAAATGTGGCTTTACCCACCTCCACCTGGCAGTCTCAGAGTCATCAGGGGACAATCAGGCTCCAAAGCCCCTTTGGAAAGCTATGCAGAGCAGTGGACCTGACCTAGGGTGTGTGTCAGGCTTATCTGGGAGCATTTCCAACTTGCTGATGTCAGGCCTCCATTTCTGAAAAGCCCTGGAAGATGAAGATGCACACACCTGACCAAGAATCAGTGATTTAGAGTAGCGGTCCCCAAACTGTACTCTGAAAGCTCATGCCAGCCAGGTGTGAGGGCAGAGATGCCCCCACCCTTTACCACCACTTCCTTCTTGGCCCTGAGAGCAATGCTGGGGCAGAGCTCAAAGCTAGATGTCACTGCTCCTGTTCTCTGCTCAGTGTGCCTGGAAAATTCAAATTAGATGAAATCATTTTTAAACATAACTATAATAAAGTTTGTTTTTTTGCCAGTGACTAAGATTTAAAAGAAAGTACCAGAATTTGGGGCATTAAATTGTTTTAGATATAAAAAAATAGATAAATTTATGATGAGAAAAAAATTGCATTCATATTGTAAAATAAAATAGTATAATTTTTCTGCATTCAGAGCATTTCCATATATCCCTTAAACATTGTTAGGAGAAAGTTGCCTCTCACCCTTTCTTAGGAAGGGCTTTCATTCTCAGCTTATGTCTTTCCTCATTTTTAGTCTTTCATGAAAGAATTTTAAATATAGATTGCAACTGTTTTGTTTTTAACAAAATAAGAAACAACCTGATATAGGCTCCCTGGTTTATTATTTCATTTTATACATTCATGAAATCCAAAGTCTGGGTCCCTGATCTGAAAGATAGGTATAGACCAAATCAAAGAATAGTAAGGTTTAAACTTGCTTCTGCCCCTAGCTTTGGCAGTTACTCCACTTCTCAGGGTCTCAAACTCCTCAGATAGAAGTGAGGGACCCAACTAATGTCAGCTCTCTGGTTTCTGCACCAATGTTGTTGTACGGTGGTGCTGACAGAAAGCAAACTAGCATGTCAAGGTTGAGAGTTTAACAGTCTCCATCTGACTTTGCCTTTGTTGGATGCTTAAACCTGTTATCAGTTGATTTTGAATTAGATCCAAGTTTTGCAACTTTGAAAATATTCAGTTGCATCACCGAATCGTGTACATATAATATACCTGTCCTTGTCCTTTTTGTCTCGGTTGACACAGGCAAAGGGAGGAGGACAGCAACTTGAACTGCTTGGTATCCACCGCCGCCTGCCCTGCCTCAGTCTGGGCCCTCCGTGGTGAGACGAGGCCTGTCCATTGTGGTCCCTGCAGTATATCTAGCACAGTCCTAGACTTGGAAAAAATACGTTCTTGGCCACTGCCAGCTAGACACTCGCTTCCCTTCACATTTCCACCGTGCTCCACGCTGGGCATGCATGTCCAGGGCAGCAGAGCCCCTGGGGCAGGGGTGGGGGCGGGCTGCAGCCTGAGAGAAGAGGCTAAAGAACTGAATTGGCTCCCTAGTGGCCTGAAAAGTGACCCTGACCTTGTCACAGAGTAAATAAACTGGCCAGGAAAGAAAGTCCCAGATACATTTGGCCATCAAAATTATGTTACAACTATTAGAAAAAAGGCAAGTAAATTAAATTAAATTAGAATGTATCATTCTAATCTGTCACCAAACTTTGAACCTTGCCCGGGTTGCTATTTCCTCTTGCACATTAGATAGGGTGATGAAATGGCCCTTGAGCTCCCCATATTTAGTCACGTGCGTTGTTTCTATTTGTATTACAGAGTTTATGTAGATGTTCCAGTGCTCTTATTAAGGTCTCGCTTTTTCATTTCTCACTTCCCTGTGTTCAAGTTGACATCTGCACTCCCTCCATGGAGAGCCGAAGAATATTCTCTCCCATTCCATGGGTGCTAGCTTCCCACACAAGGATAATCAGGTTTAAGTGAATAAAAACTCTATACCCTCTCATACTTATCATTGAGGTATTTTTAGTGCCTCAAGAGTGGACAGAGTCCATGTCCCCATTGGCCTCTGGAAGGCCCTGCCCCAGAGTGCCGCCCACAGGCATGAAGCAGGGGGTTGATCAATGCACCTTCCATCTCCTTTCACTCAGGCAGCTGGGTCAAGAGGAGGAGAATTCTTGGGTGTGAATAACCAGTTGCTGAAAAAGTTCAGGACTCAGTACGAGTGCTTTGAGCTGCTCCCATCAGAAATGCTGGGCACAGCACAAGCTGTGTTAACAGGAGCGTTATAGGTGCTGCTGCAGATAAGCGGCCAGCGAACCCCGAGACCACATCTCACACATTTTGCTAATGAACTAACAGACCTCTTGGCCCTGCGTGTGCTGAGAACCCTGTCAGTGTGCCAAGTGGATGGGCTCGCACCACAGGTCATGCTCTCTGATATGCATGATACATGTCAGTCCTGCAAGAGGCTCTCCCTCCCACCCTCTGGGAGACCCCAGCAAGGCCCCCTCCAGTGTTGACAGGTGTCAGCTTCCCACTTGAAATCAGGTTTAATTTAAAAAGGAAAAAAATTCTACATTTCTTCTCAGTTTCCTAGGAACTGATCTTTGCATAGGAGTCATTTCCATCCCCATCTTGACCTCAGGAATGTCTTGTCACTGCTTTACTGAACTTGTGCCCCATTTAGGCTTTGGCACTTGGTTCTTATATGTGTGTGCTTTAGGGTGTGGACCCTTTTCTTTAAGAATATAAGCACAAGCCATTTCAGGGGGAAATCATGTAGCTACAGAAGAAGACATTGAAAACAGATTTAAGTCCTTAAATCTTTGGCTCAGAAACCAGCAGAGTCATTGCCATGTTTAATCCTCAGCTAAGTGGAGTGATTCTTTGTGCAGCTCACCTGCATTTCTGCTGCGTTTAGGAGTTCGAGCTTCACCGCCTGGCCGTGCCCTGCCCAGCTTGGCTCCTCTCACTGCTCCGTGTCTTTCACCATGCCATTTGTTCCAACTAGACTTGCCTGCCTAGATTATGTGATCCAAAGGATCCAATGGCCCATGGAGGGAAGTGATGGTAGGGAGGCAATTCCCAGCAGGAGGAGGTGACATGGAGCAGACAAAAGCAAGGAACCAGCACTCACTCCATCTGGTCACACTCTAGATTATAAGCTTCTGGGGGCAGATGGTGCTCACAGAGCTTCCCTAAACAGCTGTCGTTTTTCAGGGTGTGAATTTCTCAGGTGTCTCCCCCAACTCAGTGCTTTGCCTGTTCCTGCATGGGTTTCTCTACAGACCACAGGGTGGAGAAGGTAGAATCAGCAACCTGAAAATGATATATGTACCCTCATAATATATACTGATGCATTTCCAGATAATTTATGAGATGGAGGGGGCAAGATGACTGTGTGCATATAGAGCATGAATTTCATAATCTATGAAACGGAAATAGTAGTCCCAGAGTTGGGGACCAGATGAGTTACAGTGCATATGATAGCACTATAATTGACTGAAAAGTGACATCAGAATGCAAATCTTATCTCACGATATTACAGACAAGACAACACTGACCCACAGAACTTCCTGCGAAGACAAATGTTCCGCCTGCACTGTCCACTGTGATAGCCTCTAGCCCATGTTACTAGTGAGCACTGGAAATGTGGCCAGTGAGATTAAGGAACTGAGTTAACTTTTTAATTTTATTTAAATTATTTAAATATAAACAGCCACAGGTAGCTAGTGACAAGGCAGTGCAGGGGCAGAGGCCCCACCCTTGGTGAACCTAGCTCTGTGACAGTTGGGAACATGTACCAAGCACTGTCCTATCTGCTCTAGATAGACTATTCCCGAGAACAGCTTCAGGAGGTTTAAACAGAGGCCAGTTTTGCAGGGACACCAGCTTATAGGTGGTGGCTGCAATGCGCATACCAGTGACTCTCACTGTGCTCTGCTGAGCCTGTGTGGAGGGTTGGAGATGGGAGGAGGACAAGAGAGAAAGCCGAGGATGACTTCTTAGTTTTTGGCCTGAGCAACTAGGTCCTTGGCAGTGCCCTTTGGCTGAAATAGACATGAGTAAAGACAACCAGGAGCTCCCTTTTGAGCAGGTTAATTTTGAGATGTTAGTTGTCCTGTTCAGGATCATAACAGGAAATACATGGCCCACTCAAGTGAGGATGGTTCCAGGTGAGCTTGGACTACAGAGGAGTAATTACAAAGGAGGGAGCCAGGAACAGGGGCCCCCACTATAGCTGGTGCAGGGTGGTGCATGGGCCTGAGGCTGGGAGCAGGCTGACTATGCTCCTGTGGGGACTGCTGGAGTTGGGGGAGGGGGAGGCACCAGAGCCTGAAAGAGAAGGGAGGAATAAAGGCTTTCACTGGTGGATGGGGGGCGGGGCATTCAAAGAGAGGGAGCAGAAATATCTTAACCTCACTCTCCTCCCACTTTCTCCTTTCCCTCAGGTCCCTAGGCGGCAGGAGTTCCTTGTGGGGCTGCACAGCCCAAGTTCCTGGGCTAGAGGCTAAAGTAGATAAGGCCTCTGTGGAGAATTGCCAGCTCCCACTATCCCGTATGGTGGGGCAGGTGGGCACAGATGCAATTGTTACCTTGTCTGCAGTTCAGAACAGATCAGGCTGAGAACATACCTGGGAGGTGTAAGCTGTAGGTGACATTTAACGTCCCTGGTCCAGGGAAGCCATCTGCCTCAGGCTATAGCACTACTGGCAGGAGAATCTGAGCTTAAGCCATTGTTCCTCATGCTCTTCCTTCTAGTGTGTCCTGGACCATCTTGCCTCCAGACTGAAGTTCAGAGTTAAACATTGCTTTATAAGATCTGCTTCCCAGGGTTTTTCATTCTTGTATTTCTTGTATTGTGTTCCAAAACTCCTACATTGAGGTATCACTGCGTTTTCTAAATTCTACCAAGTCGACCAGCAGACAGATGGAAACACAGATGGCCTATTATAGACTGTCTCTGTTTGACCCGAAGAAACCATAATGAAATCTCTTTACTGTGTCTGCTTTGTCTTTGATGGGACCAGAAGCAGTTTGAAGCACTTTGTCTTGAGTTCTTGGTGCATTTTCTCAGGCTGAGCTCCTGCCCACCACAGGTTCATTGCAGAAGAGGCTGCGGCTGCTGGGGCCAAGTGCGTGCTCACCCCCAGCCCCACTTGGATTGTCGATCCCATTGACGGCACCTGCAACTTTGTGCATAGGTGAGCATTGGTCACTCCATAAGCACGCATCACTTCATTCTAATGCCTAAACTGTCCTCTAAGATTTTGTCTTTTCCAAAGTAGCATTTTTGGAGGTAAGCGTATATAAGTAAAGCTCTAGTAGGTTTATAGTCTCTTTAAAAAGGTGATCAAATCTTGATTTTTTAAAATAGGTTTTCCATTTGTGAAAGACTCTCAGAGCATGTAGGAAATCTTCCCTTGTTTACAAACCATTGTGTTTGTTATGTTTAAAATGTTGGGTTGAATTAAGAAGGATTGCTGGAGAAGCAAGCAACGTTAAAAAGTAAGTGAGTGCAGCCCAGCAGCTGCCAGAGTATGGGTATAGACAGGGGCATGTGAAGGATGTTCCAGGGCCACCTTCAGAGGTGGGAGCAAACCTCATATCACCATGAGACAGGAAGAGGAACCCACTAGAAGCTGTCCAGGCCTAATCTGACTGGGCTAACGACAGCCAAAAAACAGTAGGTTGTAGGGAGGTCAGATGGGCCATAGGCAGGAGGGGAAGGGAAATAAGCTGCAGAGCCTGCAGAGCCTGGGGAGGTGATGGGGGCGTGGCCCCAGAAGCTCTGACCAGTGGGGAAGGCATTGGAACTATACCCACTTGTCTGGAACTATGGGCACTGAAAGTGGTTTCCACTGAGGGTGGTTCTCTGATGGGAACACGCTTAGAATCACCAGGTTGCTGGTTGGCACAGGTTCCTGGCCAGTCCCCGGGTCCCCTTTCAGTGTATTGGGGTAGCTCGTGGATCTCCATTCCTAGACCACATTTTGAGAGCCCCTGCCATAGATGATGAGGAAATGCTTCATTTCCTTACTTAAAGTGAGAAAGTGTAAGTACAGGTGACAGGGTCCTCACTCTTGATGCTGTCCTCTATGTGTTGCCTCAAATGGTATGTTTATATGTAGATATGGAAGGCGATTCTGATGTAACACGTTAATCACATGGATTATGTTAAGAATTAAGTCATACCGATATAGGTAAGTCAAACCTTTTTGAGGCAATTGCATAGTACTATCCAGTGAGTAACAGCAACAGTGTCACCAGACTATAATTTAAAGCTTGACACCTCCGTGGGGGAGTTCATGAGGAATCACAGGTCTCCTCTCTCAGGTGTGTTTGCTGAGTGGAGCACCTGTTATTTCTGTCTCACTCGCCCTTCTAGTGTGCTGGTAATGGGTACAGGGGGCACTGAGCCCCATGGTAAAGGCCACGTGTCCACCTGAGGGTGTTTCATGGGCCCTGGTGGCCCCAGGGCCAAGGGGAATGTGGGCCAGAGAGACTACTTGGAGAAAACTACCGCCTGTGGTGCTGACCCTTACAGTTCCAGAACATTGTCAAGGGCCACAGCTGCAGCCATTCTCAAGGTCTAAAGACATCCGGAAGCCTTCGGCTTCTCCAGCTCAGATGAGAACTGTTCATCCTTAAGTCCAACAGTGGCAGTGTTGGGACTAAAGCAAGTGGAAGAAAACTCTTCTGAGAGTTGGAACTGGGGACTGAAGCCAAGCTTGGCGTATAGGACGCTTGCTCAGTGAGCCAGCCACCAATGACAACAGCGCCACACAGCTGCCACCTTGGCTGTCAGGGTTCAGATCCATGTACGACTGATTTCATAGTTTTCCTATAGTTTAGCAGTACTCAGCTTTTCCTTGTTCCTACTTGTTAAGTGGTCTTCACATAAAGGAGAGATTATTTCTAAGATGCAGAGCAACAACAACAAAATTAAAAAATAAAACTACCGGCAAACAGCGGTGTCACAGCTGGCCTTCAACTGCTGTGGCCCACGCCTGCTGTTGGCATCTTGGGTGCTCACGCTGGAGACCAGGTAAGGAGGGATGTTGTTGTCGCCCAGACCCAGTCTTTGGGTGGAGGATGTGGCCTGGCATCTGTGATGTCACCTCCTAGGGACCCTTCTTCACCCTGCCTGGGACATGGGTCTGTCCTTTTTAGAGGTCTCAGTTGTCCCGTTTTGGTCTCTGAGAACCAGAAAGCTGATTATTACAATCCTTCTCAGTTGGTTACTTGGCCATTGTTGAACTACATCAATCTTAACGTGACTTTCAGAATACTGCTTTCTTTCAAGATCAGCCATCTTACAACATGGTCAGCTAAGCCTGTCTGTCTTGGAAAGAGTTAGTGAAATTGTGGGAAGTCGTTTTTTAAAAAACAAATTCACCCACACTATAGAAAAGTCCTTCTGTGCCCCGAGTGACGATGCTACACAGCCACACAGAGGCTCCTAAGAGTTTGCATATTGGTTTGCACAAGGCCATTTATGTTTTAGAGGGTAAACCATTCTGTTTTCTTTTGCAGATTTCCAACTGTGGCAGTAAGCATTGGATTTGCTGTGAACCAAGAGGTACATGGTGGGCGGGGCCCCTGAGTTGGGACCCCAAGCCCCTTGGGTCCCCAGGGCTCCATTTCAGGTTTCGTTTAGTCATCGTGCTTTGCGGTTTCAACCTCTGCACTCCTGTTTTTCTCTCTTTGTCATGTGCCTTAATCATGACTAGTAAATTCAAGTATGCGTTTTTCAAATCTGAGAAAGTAAACAAATTCAAACCGGTTTTGGGTGTGTAGGCTTGGGGCTGGCCCCTGTTTCCACTCTGGTCTTTTTGTGACACGACTATGGAAGGGGGAAGTTCTGCGCAGATTGTCCAAGTTAGTCTCCATCTGACCTCTGGGGCGTGTGATCTAGTCACACATAGAAAGAACTATTTTTAGAGGACATTTTTAATCCCAATATTCTATTAAGTCTTCTTCATCTTCCTCTAGCTGTTAGTGTGAGAGCATGGCTGTTTCAGGATTCCCATAGAACCTTGGACCTAAGCAACATCAGAAGGCCTACAACAAAGGCATGAGATCGAGACTTAAACTTTATTAATCAGTATAAGCAATAGCACTTAGAAAAGCCTTAATTTCCTTGTAGTAACTATGGTTATAGTTAAATAAGACCGGAGGTTCAGTGCCTTTCCAAAGCAGTCCTCCTTTAGCATACCATTTTTCATCGTAATCCTCAGTGTTGGCATAGATACCTAGCATGGAAATTGTATAAAAGTACTTAAAATGAAGATAAGCAAGAATTTTAATATTGAAATTTGGATAAAGAGTTATTTCTCTGCTAAATGTTGTCATTAAATTGAGTAGGGGGTTGAGCTTAATTCTTTAGAAAGACTTTTCTTTTTTCCCTTGGGAGGAAAAAAGGCTACTTGTGATTCTAACCAAACTTCACAAAAACCTCTCAAAATTACTGATGTGTGAAGAATGAAAACTGCATCTATAACTGTCAACTGAATCACAGAACCCAAGGGCAGCTCCAGGAAGACAAATGTGATTCACCAAAGGGGGCTCATCCCTGAGCAGGCGAGCACTGACTAGGAGCCACGCTGTCATAAATCATTGAAGAGGCCTTGGACCACAGCCTCCCAATAAGGAACAATAAAAAGAAGAGAGGAGCGTGAAAAAAATTCTACCTGACACCCATGTGTTTTTGTGCCTTTCCTCTACTGACTTCTCACTATTCGGGGTTAACAGCAGCAAGTATGCTTGGTCTGGGGGTCAGCCAAGTATTCCTCTCTCTGGAAAATGAAGAGAGATGCAGGCTAAATGCCTCAGCAAAGTCTTGGCCAGCCGGGGCTAAGCTCGACCACAGTGGAAGGGACTCCCCACGCTGCAGGAATAGGGTTTATTTTTGAGGAGGACCGTTCAGTCGGCACTCACGGAGGGCCTATAGCCTTCCAGAAAACTTAACCATTCTCCCTCGTGTACCCCTGGCTTTAAAGGGCTTCCAAAATCCAGGTCAGTCCTAGAACCAGGTGGTGGGCGGCCTGTGCCCCTGGGGTGAGCAGGCGGCCCTGAGGCCTTTGCTGGCATGAAGCAAGAAGTGGGACGACCTCCCCTTGATCGGGTGTCGTCCACTACACGGCCAGGCCACCAGTGTACAGTCACAAACACCAGACCCAACCGATGAACTTGCTAGCTGGCAGCATTTTGAGGGGTTTTTGTGGAGTTTGTATAGAATCATAAGTAGCCTTTTTTCCTCCCAAGGAAAAAAAAAAGTGTCTAAAGAATTAAGCTTTTTCAATAATTTTCAGTTACTAATGCTTGATTGTGATTTAATTTTTAATATAATTTTATTAGTTTTCATATATTTTTAAATACAATTATTTTTTTAAAAGTTTGCTTTTATATCCAGGTCTAATTTTAAATCTAGATGCTGATTTTTTAAATTCCCTTTTGAAAGATATTGTGTATCACATTGTCATTGCATTAGTCAGAACGCTTAGAACACCTCCACCTTTGAATTATTGTTATTTTTTGTGTCCAGTAAGTGAACGGCATTTGTTTTCTGTTCTGCCTCTGCTCCCCACAGCTTGAATTTGGAGTGATTTACCACTGCACAGAGGAGCGGCTGTACACCGGCCAGAGAGGCCGGGGTGCCTTCTGCAACGGCCAGCGGCTCCAGGTCTCCGGGGAGACAGGTGGGGCTTCATGCGGCTTAGTTCCGTTCACTTCAGATGGAAAAATGTGAATGGAAAATGCCAAAAGTCACCCTTTCATGGGGGAAATCTCCTGCTGGGAGTCAGCCTCCTTTTAGGGACACCGTGTCCCTGATGAGCTGGAAGTTGAGCCCGTTCTGTATCTTAATGTTTTTGCAAATGTGGCCAGGAGCTTTAAATAGTCCCATTCTATTTTGCACTCACATCTTTCTTTCATCTTGAACGCTAAAAGAAATCCAGTCACTAGTTATGATTTGGTCTCTAGCAGTCCAAAGCCAAGGGCAGAGTCAGAAGCATGCTCTGGCCCTCAGTGTGTCCAAGTGGTGTCAGTCATCCTGATGTCACCTGGGTGATATCACCCTGGTGAAGTCTGGTTTCCTGGACGTGGACTAACTGCAGCTGACTTCAGTTTCTGTGAGAAATTGTTCAGTAAGCGATGTTTTCAGGCACCGCAGATGTTCTGTTGTCATTGTGATTCCTAAAGCAGAACCTCAGGGGCATCCAGTAGCTTTTATAAAGGGACTGCGTTACACTTAATCTGCATATAACTATATATCAATAACAATAGCCGATGTAGGTGTTTTCACTGACTCTTTTTGGCCTTTCCGTCACACTGATTAACTGGTGATATTTTATCGCCTTGTGGGACAGATACTGTAGAGGAAATTGCAAGACAAAAATCAAGAGAAGCACCCCAGACTAGGAGGAGGTATTAGGAGCCTTTAAAATGTCTGTAACATCCATGTTTGGGTCTGATAAAGGTAGAAAGCATAATTCTCACTTGCATGTTCCTATAGCGGAACATCATGAGATACTCTCCCGCACCCCCTACCCCTGTTATTTCATTTACCCATCATGGCTTCCGTCTGTGATGTCAGCACTTGTCCTCTGAGCCCCCATACCTTCCTTATACCTCTCCTCTCTCCTCACTTAAAAAATGTATTCCCTAGTGCCCTTTCTCCATTGTCTCTGTTTATTCTGCCTTTTCTTTCTCCCTGGGTGACACCTGTGTACCTAGATGGCCTCAGGGACAATGAGAGGACTAAAGTATGCCCTGCTATCCAACTGCCTCTCATCTAGTGAGGAAGTCAGACTCTCCACCTGTGATCCGCAATGATCCAGTGAGAGCAGGGTCATCCAGGAGTCCTGCTTTAATTGTTAATTTCTTATATTTGAGTTTCTACAACACCAAAGATGCTGATCTGGGTACAGCAGGAGGTTTTTGCTCTGGCACAGACTCTTCTTTGCAGTGCCATGACCCCATGAACAGCCTTTCAGAGAGGTGACCTGCTGTTATGTGAAGGACAGGCCGGTGGGACAGGACCGCCCACTGGAGATTGAGGAGGCTCCCTTAGAGGCCATGAGAGTCACGAGCACAGCCAGGGTGAGGGGACGGTCACCAGACAGGAGTGGGAACAGCAGGACGTACTAACCAGTTACTGATTCTGAGTCCCCTCCCTGCCCCAATTTCTCTCTCTCCCAGAAATGTTTTGTTTGGCTATGTAAAAAGTGTTAATTACAGCTACACATGCCAAGAGGCAACCACTCAAGCTGAATTGTGTAACTCAGTAGTGAAGAAGCATGTTATTAAACACGCTTATGTGAACTTTGCTCTATATTTCATTTGATTATAACATTCAACTCTATTCATACACTCTCAGCTTCCTGGTTGGCTGCCTGCTTTGCTCTGTCATGCCTTAGAACTTCACATCCTCGGTAGGGCTGTCAGACTCCTCGCCCAGCACTGGCTCATCCCACCCATGTAGGCAGGGACTTTGGGTCACCACTGCATTTGGCCTATCTTTGTAGGCCCTCCTGTCCCGGAGTGTTAATCGCTCAAACACTGTCATAAACCCCCTTTGTCAACACAGTTGTGGTTCATACTTCTCTTGAAATTGCTCATGTCCCAAAGCTCTTTTGTAATTTTTTTTTAAAAAAATTCTGACTTATAAAGTCCAATGTGGTGTTTTCACCCTGGGTTCTTTTTCTATTTGATGGGTGATAGATCTTGATGGGGGGTGATGGAGCATATTCTTTAGCAGCACAATCTTTAGGTATCATTTCAGATCCTGATTCTGCCACCTTCTAAGGCTGAGATTTGTCAGTTAACCTCTCCGAATCTCAGTCCTCATTTGTAAAGTGGGATGACAATGATAACTTTGAAAGTTAAATAAAATTAAATAGGGAAATCACTCAGCAAAGTCCCTGGCACATAGTACCCAAAATGAGAGTTGTTGTCAAAGAAGAAACTGGAGTCTTTGTACAAAATCAATTACAGCCCATTGTTAAAATCAAGAGGCATTTCTGGAGGAAACAACCATTAAAATAACCACCATTAATCTTTGTCTTCGTGCTTTCTTTTCCTTCTCTTTTCTGATTCCTATTATACCCTTCTGGAATGTCTTACACACACACACTCACACTCACACTCTCACACTCTCTATCTCTCTCATTCACACTCACTCTCACTCACTCACTCACTCACACTGTATAGGGGTAAAGGATTAGATGAGGCCAGAATTTCATTAGTCGCCTTTTCTTCAAATTCTACCAGGCAAAATTTCAAGCATGTATAAAGCAGACAAAAAAAAAAAAATACAGTACACCCACATGACCCATCACTAGCTCCAATATTGCCAACTCTTGGCCAATCCTTCATCCACACCTCCACCTCACACTCAGCACCCCAAACAACTCCCCGATACAAATCCCAGATAGGATACCATTTCTAGCCTTCTAGCCAGTATTTCAGTATGGATCTCCAAAACATACAGATAATTCTTTGAAAAACATAATCACAATACCAATATCACACCCCTCCCAAAATTAACAGTCATTCTAAAATCATTAAGGATCCAGTCAGTCTTCAAATTTTCACGTCTTATCTTGTGGAAAATGGCCTTTCAAGGTCACATCTGGGTTTTAGGGGTCCTTGTGGCTCCTGGATCCGTCTTTGTTACTAGGCCTTTTCAGTGGATGGAGCTAAGAAATGAGTTGTTTTAAAATATGAAATTCATCATGAGTTCATACTGGTGTTCTCCATTCAAATTCATGACTATAAGTTTGTCTACTTAACTCTTCTATGTATGTCTCCTCTGCCCCATGTTGAAAACCTCAGTGCACAGTGACACTAGGAATGATAAATTTAATAACGTCATGCAATCCTTGTTCACGTTGTCACACAACACGCACATATCAGTTTCAGAATAACAATACTAGTCCTACTATCAACAAGTGATTACTGAAAGTGGTTTGTAGGATTTTTTGGTAATGTTTTGTTTTGTCTTTTGGGAATTTTTGTCCTTCATGAATATCCGACTAGGGTCTGGGGTCACATTGCTGTGATAGTCTCTGTAGTGGTTTTTTTGTTCCCTTTGGTTATGCTACCAACTGAGGCTAATCACTTAGATCCATTTGTTTTAATTTAACTTAGAAGGATTACTTTTTTAAAATTGATTTTATTTTGTAATTATGTAAAAAAACAAGTATGTCGTTCCAAAGTCAAATCTATAAAACAAAGTGCATTCAAAGCAGTTTAGTTTCTATCCTTCCTTGTCCTTTTTACCCTATAAGTAACCCTTAAAAAATATAATAGTTTATTTTTCAACTATTCAAATTATTTTTCAACTATTTCAAATTATTTTGGTGTGTTTTTTTAAAATAAGTAGCTGTTTTGTTTGCTTTTATTCTCTGTTTCAGTATAATTTTTGGTATTTAGAAAGGTTTACATTTTTATTCTAATAATTTTCTTTGTATTAAAAATTTGATATATCCCTAGTCCTCTTTCTTTTGGGTTATTGTCTATGATTCTGTGTTATCGGTAATACTAAACTTAGCTTGTAACCTCTTCACCCCACTCCCCACTCTTCATATACTCCCAGTATATCATTTAAAAATTATATCCTTTTATTCTCGGTAGCTACAACACAGTTGGTGAGCATATTCTACTTGTCACATCCTCTCCACATTATCTTTCCAGTTTCAGATGGTTGTGCTGTAGATGCAGTGGCAGAGCAACCAGCCAGCCATGACATGCTTTTACCCTAAAAATATTATTTAGTATTTAGTCTTGGTTCCATAGATAAATGTAGATTTAATACCCAACACTCGTCCTTCACATTGCTGTTTCACCAGCCATTTTGTTTGTGTGAAGCTCATTCACTAGTGCAGCATTTCTCACACTTTTTGATTTTAGAACTAACCCATTTATATGCCCGAAAAAAATTATTAAAAACTCCTAAAGAGCTTCCAGTTAAATAACTTATATCTATATTTATATATTAGAAATTTGAACAGATTTTAAAAATACTTATTAATTTATCTTTAAAAATAAAGAACTCATTACGTGTTAACAAAAATGATATATTTTTATGGAAAATACCATATTTTCCAAAACAAAAAAATTTCGTGAGGAGTGGCATTGTTTTACATCTTTTCCAAACCTCTTTAATGTCTGGCTTAGTAGAAGATAACTAGATTCTCTTATCTGCTTCTATATTCAGTCTGTTTTTGTATATTGCCCTTAAACAGATAATTTGAAAAGGGGCACGTGAGGAATATTTTAATAGACTTTTCAGATAATTCATGGTATTCATTTTTGATGCTACAACAAAACTCAAGAAGTAGTGGTTTCTTAAAGGTTAGTCTCATATCAAATCTAATAACATATCAGTGAATTTTTTTTGTACTCAGTTACATTGAAATCCATTGGGCCATCTCCTACTTTGAATGATCTTTTTTGTTCATCATGCACTGGAAAATATGGATTCCCTGAGATTTTCAGCTTTTCCAAATGTTAATGTATTTAAAGATATTTAAAAAGTCATATTCATTAGTATCACCACTCTTCTCATGAGAAATCTTTAGGTGTTGGGAAGGTGTCAATCTTACAATGATGGAAAGAAGTCTTCCCAAATTCTAATTTCCACTTAAAAGCTTGAATTTGATCAGTGGCAACCTTGGCAATTCAAGTGATGGGCTCCCTTCTTTCATTTTCAAAAAACTACCTTCCAAATACACAGCTCTGAATAACTATATCTAAGCTCTCTATCTGTACTTTCCATCTCATCACACAGAATATTCAAAAGACATATATACTTAGAGTTCAAGATTTAGTACAATTAATAATTTTTATAGATTTATCATTCTTAAGTAAAACTGACATTTTCCCCCCAGTATATATAGCAATCACTTCTAGAACAGGTGAGACCTTGCCTTGCTGTCTATACATCGAACAAATGTTAACATGGTAGAAAGGCAAATAATGTCTTAATATTGTTATGAAATTTGTTTTAACTTCACAGATTCCTAAAAGAAGCTCAGGGACCACACTTTGAGCACTGCTCCAGTTGATGTCTCAGGAAGAGCTCATGGGAACAATATTCCCTGAGTTCCTTACGTGTCCCTAAGTTTATCGGTGGCCTTTATACTTGAAAAACCATTTTTCTGGTAGTAAAACACATGGCTCACATTTTCTGGTGTTAAATGTCACAAATTGTCTGCATTATCTTCCAGCATAAGCACATTATTGAAGTCAGAAAACAGTTTTTTTCCCCCCTGAAAAGGGACTTTAATATTTTTGCTCGAATGCCCAAAGAAATTTTTTCTTTAGAGTACAGTAATTTTAACAAAGCGTTGTTTCTTCTGAGTAAGTTTTCCTAGGTATGTGGTATGCCCTTTCAATATGTAATTTCAAGTCCTTTTTAAAAAAAATTCAGAAGTTTTCCTGAATTATAGTTTTTAGTATTTATTTTCAAATTCTGTTGCTTTGTTTGTTTTGTTTTGTTTTGTTTTGTCTTCTGGGTCTCTTATTATATGTATGTTGGGTCTTCTCTGCTCACCTTGTGTATATCTCACTTTCTTTTGAATACTTTTCACTTTTTCCACCAATTTTTTTTTTAATTTTTAAAAATCCCTTTTTTTATCTCCATTTCTTGTAAAGCATGATGTATTGTTTATTTGTTCTGTATTCCTTTAATTTAATCTTCTTGTCTGAAATGTTTTCTTTTCTGATTCTTCCCTAAGTTCTGCCCCTCTACTTTTGAATAACACTGTTTTTTTATGTATTCTTTGTTTCTTTTACATAAAGTTACTTCTGTTTTGTGGACAGATCTTTCTGGCATTCTTTGATTGACTGGAGAGATGTTATTCTGCTCCTGGTTCTTTTTCTTTATGATAATTGTGTGTGAGATTCAACCATGATTCTTTTCTTTTACTTATTTCTACTAGAAATCTGTATTACTGAACTTTGGAGTCAGTAAGGTTGGTGAGTGTAGTGGTAGTGGACAGTTTTCATAGTTTCACAGCTCTAGAGCTCCCTCTTCTGTTTTTGTGACGTGTTCAAAAAATTGGCCTTATCCTTAGTTTTTTGTTTGTTTGTTTGGTTTTGCTCTGTTCACTTCATTCACTGTTATCTGGTCCTTCTTTTTCCTTTGCCCCTATTACTTCTGTCTAGTGAGTTTGGAATTCACTCCCATACATATCTATCAAGTTCTGGGACCTGCCCTAAGAGTCCCTGGTAAGTCCCTCACAAGAGGTCACAGGGCTGACCAGCTTCCTACCTTCAGACCTTACCCCACACCCAATACCAGGGACCTATGAATTGATGTGTGCAGAGCTCCTCTCACATTGGCCCAAACTGGTTTCCAGTGAGTGGCCGTTGGTGATTTTGAGGTTCTCCTGTTCTCAGGTCCAGTAGATGCTCCATGCTTCTCTCTTCCCTCTGATGCCATAATGCCATATGGTCTGGTAGCCGTTGGAAGTTTGCTCCACCCATTGTGTTTTGGGGTTTAGATACGCATTGTCGGTATAGTTTTGGTTTTTTTTTTTAAGCCTATAGCACCTGCTATTCCTAGGGGGTCTCCCATCCAAGTACTAACTGATACGCATTGTCGGTATAGTTTTGGTTTTTTTTTTTTAAGCCTATAGCACCTGCTATTCCTAGGTGGTCTCCCATCCAAGTACTAACTAGGCCCGACCCTGCTTAGCTTCCGAGATCAGACATTCTGGCTTGTTCAGGGTGCCATGGCAGTGTAGCCAGTGTAGTTTTTTTTAATCTATGATGTCTGTAGTTTTGTTTGTTGCTCTCCTAGTTCTGTCTGTTTTTACCAGGGGGTTTGGAGAGATTAAAATCTATGTAGTTGTTACATAGATGTCCAATTCTGTCATTTTCAGGATTCTAAACAATACTTTTTTTCCAAATTACATGTTTCTTTTTCAAAAATAATTTATTGAAGTGAATGTCAAATAATGTAAAACTGAACAATTCCATAGCAGTTATAAGATTCACAAGGCTGCATATTTGCACTCTCCAATGTAAACTGTATACCCATGAAGCCCTCTCTCCTCCGCTCCCCCTCTCCCCGCCCCCAATCACCAATCTTTGTTCTTAGTACTTATGTTTCTAATTTAAATAAAGTTAACTTTTATTTTCATATGAATAGTTCTTATTGGTCTATAAGAAGTCTGAAAGAATTAGAAAATACTTGTGGAAGCATTGTCACTGGGAGGGAGCCTTCAGCAAAACCAGCTGGTGCCCAAAGGGAATATTTTCAGACTTTAAAGCACAGTCGCCTCTTTCTCTGTGAACACATATTTCAGTGCGTACACACGACTTGCTTCTCTTGCCGTTCAGTTGTAACATTTCTCTTAAGATAACAGTACTCTTTGATACTGTATTTTAACTTCGCTCAACAAGAAAAGGGGTTTTCAGACTGTTGGAAATCACAGACTTTTTTTCACTCTAAAATCTGTTTATTAAAAGTATATAGAGATGCCTTACTTTAAAATCTGTTAGATTTTTTTTATTGTGTTAATATATATAACAAAATTTGCCATTTTAGCCATTTTAAGTGTATAATTTAGTAGCATTAATTACATTCATAGTGGTGTGCAGCCATCACCACTATTTCCAAAACTTTTATCTCTATACCCATTAGCTCCCCATTCCCCATACACACATCCATTTAAATTAAAAAATTAGCATTTGATTAAAACTAAAATGTTACGATGAATATAGGATAAATGTTAATGAAATGCAAAAATCATAGTAATTGTGGATAACTAGCCAGAAATAATCATAAGATATTAAGTAGAAAGGGTTGTAATTTTTAATTTTTCCTTATCTGGGGTAAAATAAAACAGAAAGCATTTTGCCTGTAGGTGGCAGCATTCAGACTTCCTTTTAACTTCTTAATTTCATTTGGGGAAAAAAATATATTAGCAAGAGAAAGAATAGATACATGCAGCTAGGAAGAGGAAGGTACCAGATCTGGAGATATCTTTTCATAAATTTAAAACCCTTTCTTTCACATAATCACCAGATAAGCTTGCGTTTAAGTCTGGACCTCACCACGTAAGGGCTACATGACCTCAAGCGTCACTTCTCTAAGCTCGATCTCCCTATCTGTGAAACAAGGGCAGTGAAATAATGAATGTGATAGAAGAATAACAGCATTCATGGAAGTTCTGGAAGAGAGTAAGGACTTGGTAAATGTGAGCAATTGCTATTTCCACACTTGGCTTAATTTCCCTTATGAAACAGCCTGAGGGCGGTTAGTTGGAAAATCCCTGCTCTTCCTGCACCAGCCCTGTATATGGGGGTGTCTGCTTGTCTAAGCTGGCCCTCTGGGGACTTTCCTCTCTACTTCCATGACAGCCAGCACCTCCCTCTAATAAGGGCAGACTGGGCTAGGTCTTGGCTTGAAGGAGTAGTCGCATCTTATGAACCTTAATAAAAGTAGATGCTTGTCTCCCTGTGGTCATTGAATGACCGACCAGCTTTCTGGTTCTGGGGGGAAATCATCAATGCCT